TGATTGCACAAATCCCATCTTCTATAGTTGTGAATCTAACATATGTGACCATAATTGACAAAAGGGCCCTTATGGCGGATTTTAAAATTGATAGTTATAATGGAAAATATCAACCTGTGAGTGCTTTGTTAGACAATCATTGTTTCTAAAAGTTTCATGGTAACTTTTTGCATCCTGTGGAGTAATTTTATGATAACTGGGGCTCAGGAAGTTAGATTTCTTAGGCTAGAAAGACAAATTTCACTACCCGCCATAAGGTACCTTTTGTCAATTATGGTCACATATAATTCCAACAACGGGGGGCCTGCATATTAACTCTTCTTTGCCTTTTTCTTCATACCCTTCAGGCTGTTTCATGTAGACTGTTTCTTTCAGCTCTCCATTTAAAAAGGCAATTTTAACATCCATCTGATGCAATTGTAGATTATTCTGAGCAGCTAGAGCAGCAATCATCCTAAGAGACTCAAACCTAACAACAGGTGAAAAGGTCTCTTCGTAGTCAACTCCAAGTCATGGGGAATAGCCCTGAGCTACGAATCTAAATTTATATCTATCAATATTTTTAGTAGCTCCAATCTTGAATTTATAGATCCATTTACTGCTGACGACTCTTGTATCTTTAGGAAGTTTCACCAGTTCCCATACATCATTAGACATAAGTGAGTTGTACTCTTCATCTATTGCTTTCTTCCATTTCTCACGATTTAAGGAGGTAAGAGCTTCATCAAGTGTCTGTGGTTCTTGGATATGACTAGCTTGATTTATTCAGACACCATATCGATCAGGTTGTCTAGTTACTCTAGTTGAGTGTCTTACAGTTCACTCTGGCTCCTGTTCTGTCTCATTCTCTTCTTCGCGAGTTTCATCATTATGAGGAACAGTCTCTTCATTTTTAGTGTTTGGCATCTCAACTTCTGTTGTGCTCTCATCTTCACTAGCATCAATGCTCACATAGGTAGTAGATTCATTCTCTGATCTATTCTGTTTATAGCCATCAACTGTCTCATTAAAAATGACATCACGACTATAAATGACTCTGCTTTTGTAAGTCATACAGGTGATACGCTTTTCTATTATCAGCGTAACCTAGTAAGATCAGCTTATGAAACTTAGAATCTAGCTTCTTTCTTTTATCCTTAGCTTTTTGACTATATGCTGCACAGCCAAATATGCGTAAGTGACTAACACTTGGCTTGATTCCAGTAAAGGCTTCATAAGGAGTCATTCCTTCAACTGCTTTAGTTGGACAGCGATTACGTATATAGACTGCTGTACTAATAGCTTCTGCCCAGAAGAATTGAGGCAGCCTGACCAGTCTAACATACAACGAACCATTCCTATGAGTGTTCTATTTAAACTTTTTGCCATACCATTTTGCTGTGGGCACTTAGGAACAGTAAACTCATGTTTTATTCCCTGAGAAAGTAGATACTTTTTGAACTCATGTGAGGTATATTTCCCACCATTATCTGGACGTAGAGATTTTATGCTCTGCCCAGTAGATTTCTCTACTAAACGCATCCACTCACAGAATTTATCAAAAACTGCACTCTTATTCTTAATTATGTATACCCATACATATTAGGTCTTATCATCTGTAAAGGTTAAAAAAATATTCTCTACCACTGAGCGACTTTGCATTAATCTTGCCGCATACATCACTGTGTATTAGCTCTAAGGCTTCTTTGCTTCTTGTCTGAGCATGTGAAGGATACGGATTCTTATGCTGCTTCTCGGCAATGCATGATTCACAAAACTGAATTTCCTTGGCTATCAAAAAATCAAAATCTTTCACTAACTTATCATGAGCAAGCTTTTGTAGATTCTTCATGCGCAACTGCCCGTGTCGATAATGCCACAAATCTTCTCTAGTAAAGTTGGCATTATGTATAGCTGAATGAACTTCATGAGGCAATATGCTCAATTCATATAGACCTCCAACTCTGGTAGCAACTGTAACTACTTTATTACGAGTATCACGAATCACACAAGTATCATCGTTAAATTTGAATGAGATACCTCACTTCGTTGCTTTTGACACAATTATTATATTATAAACAAAATTAGGAATGTACAACACATTAAACAATAAACATTTACGTGTGTATTGACCATACTTCAAGTATACAACTACGGTACCTTCACCAACCACTTCCAGTGTGTGACCGTCTCCAAGCTTCACATTGATATTCTTCTTAAGTGGATACAGCTTGACAAATTGACTACGATCCCTTCAGATGTGGCAAGTGGCTCCAGAATCTAATATCCATTTTTAATTCATTTTTACTGGATGCTTCAGCCGTTAGAACATGATCGATTACTAGTCCAACGTCATCACTCTCAGAACTATCATCTGGTTGACGTTTGCTTGTAACACAGCAGACCTGTAATGATTCTTTAACCGACTGCTTTAACTGCTACACTGACGACTTGACTTCAAACTAAGATCCTTAGATTCTCTTTGTTTACAGTCTCGTTGATAATGACCAAATCTCTTACAATTATAACACCTTGGTCCTTCCTTCTTATGATTACATAAATTCATTGCTCCTTCAGTCGAACTACTCTTGTTACCAGTACGATCATTACTCTTTTGCTCTTCATACACCAGCTTCTCTATGACAGTGTCTATCTTTGGAACATCTGGTCTAGCCTCAAGTGCTGTGACTAGTGTACTATAGGAGTCAGGTAGACTTGCCAGTAAGTGTACCACTCTGTCCTCTTCTGTCATCTCAGCTCCAATAACAGACAGCTCATTAAAGATTTCTGTCATGGCTTTGATGTGGTCATGAATGGAATCTCCTTCCTTTAATCTAAAAGAATCTCCTTCCTTTAATCTAAAAGAATAGAGCTTCTTCCACAATGTCAGCTTGTTCGCCCAAGTCATTTTCTGAAACTCACTAGCAAGCTTCTCCCACACAGTCACGGGACTGTCAGGTTCACCAAGGAGATAGAGAAGAGCAGGATCCACAGTCAGGACGATGGTAGCGAGCGCTCGGTTATATCTAACCATGAAGTTAGCATACTCCTGCGTCGTATTATGTGTCAGCGCGACTTCCTTCTCGATCACTACATTCCACAGTCCTTCTTTGACTAGTGACATTGTACACTGGACCTTTCAAGTGGAATAATTTGTGCCATTAAGGGGAACAACCATAGACATCTTCGCTTCGGCCATCATATGGTACTGGGCTCATAGCCTGATATAAACTGGTAATTTTTTAAACAAACAACTTTCAACACTTGACAAGTGATAATCACATAAAATACACTAAGGGAGCAAAAAGGAACGAGAGAGAGAGAGAGAACCAGAACAAAGGAAGTGAACAGAACAAAAGAACAATAAACTATATACAGTATAATATATGTGGTCAGTCTAGAATGTTCTCTGCATGTTACATAACTAGAGATAATAATGTAAACCACAATAGATTAATAAGATGTATGCATAGCAAAAATAATAAGCACTAAATTGTACATCTCCCACACTTCCTTCTGAAGTAAGAATGGTTTTAGTTTCTGCTAAGGAGACAGAGGAATTGAATACATTCGCTTCATTAGCGGACAGAGTCGTAGAAGTTTCAGCGTCTTCCATTTCATCACTAGGTACCACAAAGTTGTCTACTGAGGTTGAGAGTTACTAAAATAACAGACCTCAAGTCACTAATGAAGTCTCTCTCTCTCAATAGGCAACATCCTAGTTGCCATATGTCTAGTCCCCCTCCACCCAGTCAGGCAAAAGAACTTTGCTGGTTTCACGCCCGTTTTGCCGAGAAGGCAACTAAGTGTAACCTGCCTTGTTCTTGGAGTTCAGGAAACGGGCAGGCCGGTCCCTGACGGCGGCCAGTGTCTTCGGCTGTTCCCCTAACCACCTATTTTTTATAATAGAAAGATCATCTAACCATTATTTTTTGGTAGACACTGGCGCAGAAATTAGTGTTATTCCTCCCCGTCAGTCTGATAAACAACACCTTCAACTGGGATTCCATCTACAAGCTGCTAATGGTGTCACTATTCCCACACACGGTACCCGGTCTCTCACTCTGGACCTTGGTCTGCGCCGATCTTATTGCTGGGTTTTCACTGTAGCTGACGTTAGGCATCCTAACTAGGAGCCAATTTCCTTGGACACCATGGGCTTGTGGTTGATATTAAACAGCGAACCCTCGTTGACTCTAGCACTAGCCTTACAGCTACTATTACTTGCACACACCAGAATGCACACAGGCTCACTACAATTAACCCTCTCTTTGTTTCTGAACCTTTTCTTTCTCTCCTTTTAGACTATCGAGAACTCACCCGTTCATTTATAAATACGCCTGTCAAACACAATGTTTTCTATTACATTGAGACCTAGGGCCTCCAGTCTCCTGTCGCACTCGTCTCCCTCCTAAGCATTTGACAATCGCCAGATCAGAGTTTGATCATATGTTGAAACTGGACATTATCCACCCCTCCTCCAGTAACTGGTTGTCAGCACTACACATGGTCCTCAAAAAGTCTGATGATTGGAGACCCTGTCAGGATTATAGAGCACTGAATAGAATTACTATCCCAGACAGGTATCCTTTCCCACACCTACACGACCTCACACATCCACTCTCAAGGGAGCAGCTACTTTTTTCTAAACTTGATTCAGTCAGGGCATACCACCAAATACCTGTTGCACAACAGGATATACACAAAACAGCTATAC